ACAACAAGTTGTGCGTGGAGACAGCACCTCTGTCACATACCGTCGGATCTCTTATGACACTGTTATACAGGGCCTGACCAGCGTGATCCTGTTTCATCACTCCTGGTGTGTGTTTGCAGAGGACTTGACGGTCTCCTCCCTGTTACGGTCCACTGTGTCGTCGTCAATGATTCTTATCCCCACGATGCTCAAGATCTCTACTGAACTGATATATTTCTGCTGCTATGTTCGTAGCTTTGTTAATCGCTGTAGAGGGACACAAGACTCTGTCTTAAACATCGCACTATATAGAACAAAAAAAACAAACAGTAGTATCCGTTACTGGCATTCCCTGCTTCGGTGTACACAGCAAACAGTAAAGTCAAACAGGACACGGCAAGTCATTGAGCAAATTCTCAGTGTTGCCAAGAAACAACCTCGCATAACCATCACCTCATGTACGGGCACATCTCTGCCTGCCTCCCCACGATCTCGCACATAAGCCCTGTTGAAGAGGAAGATAGGTTAGAGTAACTGGATATAGGGCAGGGTTATAATTCACCATCACTGTCATGGATTACAATGCTGGCTTCTGATGGCGCTATCTTTATGCCGTCAACTGCATCCCTTCGCCAGCATAACTGTGAAATTCTTACTAGTTCCACAACACAGCCATCTCTATAGTGCTTTATTGATGCATGACTTTGTCTGACATGGTTCGCAGTATAGTTCTTGTTGTTGAGAGCTCATAGTCCTCACCAGTTACTAGACAAAAGGAGTGAGAGAGAAAGAAAGTTGACTATATATATATAACTCTTTGGCCAAAGCAACACAACTACGAATCATAACGGGGAGCACAGGTTTTGGTGGTAAAGATGAATCAAGGACCCCACTTTTACAATATATAACACTTACCAACTACATCACTTAGGTACACTTGGCAGAAAGTCTTGCACATTTTGCGTAATTCTTAATGAGGTACGATTTGTATAACATTTAAACCTGCATCAATAGGAGCAGTAGAGATCATGAGACTGAATCCATAGTTGATAGGACACGAGATATTTGGAGATGTCACTCTGGCACATACTTCGAGGCTGGCTCCTTCGTTGACTGAATAAAATATTTCCTCTAGGCCCACAGTAGCATCTGTGGCAGTTAAAACACGTCACATGCCTATTTTGCTGTAGCAAAAGTTTCCCATTTAATCAACACTGAAATTTAACTCATTGTCGTCATCGATTATTGTGATTGTGGCATGCTTTTTAGTCACATTGGTGTAGGCAGAATTCTCATTCTTAAAAAAATAATGGAAACGAGTGGAACTCTTTGCTGTGAAATGACCCCTTGTTCTTTTCTTTTTGGCGCTTTGAGCCACTCCTATATCCCCCTTCGTTTTGAAGAAATGATTTTTCCACTTGTTTCCATTATTTTTATGAACCACTCTGACTACATAGCATTTACTTTACTCTGATATGAAGATCAACTGATTCAGCCTGATAAAGCAAGCACAATGCACACGCATCCGGACAACGCCCCTGCATGGAGTGTGCTGCTGAGTTAGCAGGAAATGGCGTCGTTCAGTGTCGATCTACCAGGTGGAGCTAAAAGATCAACCGTAGGGACTTGTCACAACGAAGAAACGATCACTTGATGGCCGTGCACACCTCCGTGGAACCTGGAGACGTTCAGTGGAAAAATCAAGGCTGCAACTTGTTCTGGTAAGGAGATAGCGGGATTGAAGAATACGATGATGATGACGAAATCGTGAAATCGAGTATGAGCAAATTCTCGTTTAGAGAACTGAGGCCACGTAAGAAATCTTGCTAGCTAAACATGGGCCTGTAGACTATTGCTAGTGATTTATGAAACCTAGGGAGTCATTGTCGCCGAGTTTTGAGGCATTTTGTATGCAGATCACGTGAGGTTTGAACCGTGCCATCCCTAAATAGAGCGTCTACCGGCACTCAAGCGAACAACCAGGTCAGGCAACAAACCATCTTCATCTTCAATGGTAACAGTAGGACTTAGAATGATGCGCTAAGCGAAGTCTTGACTTGGTAGCTGTAGAGAAATGGTACACTGTGGTGGTTGTGTGTATAAAGCTCTACGGGGCTTCAATGGGCTTTGGAACCGTTAGGACAGATTGTCTGCAAATGTACTTTGAACTTAGAGGTTTAGTTACACAATATGACGTTAAGCTAGGTGGCAGTACCTGCACATTATTTAGAAACATTTGCATTCGGATGACCAGGTGGGCTCACTTCGCTCGCCAATTATTCAAAACTACTTCAGCAACCTTCTGGGCTGCACCTTTGCAAATCCTCATAGGTCTTATTAGTGTTTCTCCAGTAATCAACGGAAATTGCAGTTTAATTGAGTGTGGGAACATTAATCGTGCCGTGTAAAGACAAAGGAATTTTTATGCACATTCAAAGATGGGCAGATGCATAAAATTACTTTACAAAAATCGTTGGAGAAGTGACAGGTTGTTCTTTATACTTCAGGCATGTGTCAACAAACGAAGACAGCTCTTCCAAGGAAAAGGGAAGAGCTGCCCTGAGTGGGATTCGAACCGACGACACCCTGCTGTCTAGGCAAGTGCCCTCCCAACTGAGCAACTCAGCTTGTACAGGTTCAAATCTTCCAAACAATACAAGACAAAGGCAAGACTCAAACCACTGTGCTATGGCACAGTATGCTGCAACTGAGGGATTCCACAAATCATTAGGTCTGAAACTTCTGCAACAGTGCCATAGTATAGGTAGGAAACAGTGAGCCACGTAAAAATTTGGCGCTTCTTCACCGTTACTCTACAAGAAAGTGAAAGAGCTGTATTTAGAGCTCCGTGTATGTTTTGCACAAAAGTTCAAGGTCGCTGATAACTAGTACGTTAACATACCATCATCGTCAATGACGGTGAGAGAACCACTCCTGAGTAAAATATTTTCCATCTCATATGTGTTCTTCAGAATAATGCTCAATTGTTCGTCTTCTTCAACCCGATCATCATCAGTTATTGACAGCACAAGGCATTGATCTAATTCATCACACTCTCCAAATACGAGACTTTCAGTATAATCTAAAGTAATAAAACTGATAGCATTCACAATTTATACATTATGAGCTCAGACCTTCACTGATTTGAAGTGTCAGATTAAGAGGAAAACCTACTGGACAGTCCCCATCAAACCCATCTTCTGCAACAATGCAAACTTCAACCACACCCATCGATTCATTAACATTGATATTGACAGGGTCAGGACCAATGGTGACAACTGCAATGGAAAGAGAGGAGCTTACTTAATCCTTGACTTTAACAAGCCTGTAATTTACCATCATTATCCTTGATAGTTATGTCATATCTGGTCCGATCAACTCTAATGCTTGGTTGTAGGCCTGGACTATTTGTAACATACACCTGAAACACCTCGTCCGTTTCCACTATATTGTCATCATGATAGACCATGTTCACACACACTGTATGATCACATTGCTTGATTGCTGTAAGCAAGGCTATTGCCCTGAAATCTCCAGGAGGTACTGAAAAAATAAAAAGCTGTCAGTATTTCTTATAGAAACACTGTAGACATAACAGACCTGCACTGTAACTTTCAGAAAGGAAGGCAATAGAAGCATCAAATTGAATGGGGCAGACGGAATCAAGAGGATTCACTACACTAGCACACACTCTAGCTGGATCACTGATTCCCTCTCGTACAGTGAAATTGGTCAAGTCACGATTTAATTCAACCAGAATATCTGAACAATAATTATAAATGAAAGTTAATTGGAGAGGAGAAGGCTTGCTTCGTTAACACTTACAATCATCATCAACGATACCAACCCGTGCTGATATTACTTCTCCTAACCGAACATTGTTGTGTGGTGATTCAAGTGTGACTCGAAAACTCTCCCAAAAATACCCTCTGTCTACTTCAACCATGTTATCATCAATTAGTATGATATAAACACATGCCCCATTGGAATTAAACCTCATCTCTAAGGTTTTATTGCTGAAGTCATCATAATCTGAAGTGATATAGGGTAGTTGGATGATTCAAAACAACAACATAATATATAATAATGCAAGTGCCTGGCTTACCTGCAGATTGCGGGTTTTCCCAAAGAGTAGGAACCACATTAATTAATACGCTGATATTATAGCGGGTGTCATAGTTGGAGAGAGAAGCACAGACTTTAACTTTCTCATCTGCTTCACTGCCAGTAAATGATTCTGCCATAAGATTGACTGTAGCTACAGGGAGGAATTTAGAGTGGGAAGGACTAAGGGGAATTCATCACTTTGTAGAAAGAAAAATGTTATAACCACAAGCTCGATGCATGGAACACTCCTTAATAATGCGATAAAAACAACTAGCTACATACGCTTTGGTATGATGAAGACTCTTCCTTGTGTGTCCACCAGCTCTGCAAACCTGAACGCATCATTCTCGAGAGTCAGTCCAAACTCGAAGTATTCAACATCTTCATGAAGAGGGGATGAGTCCAAAATATCAATTTGGAAGCAGCTCTTCTCTTTACATCCTTCAAACAGGTTTAAACCGTTAGAACCACCAAAGGGGTAACCAACTGTTCTGTAATCTTCAAGCGCACCTGTTTCAATATTTAGATATTGGCTGCTACATTCAGCTCAGTAACCCTTACTTGCATTTCCACCAAATGTGTGAACACGGTAGTAGAGAAAAGCATCTATTGGACAATCCTCATCCCCACCATTTTCTATTACCAGACAGATGTTGACAGCACTGGTAGACTCAAAAACATAGTATTCCCTGTGTTCCAGCCTAATCTGAAGTACTATAGTCCAAAAGAGAGAACAACTGGTAAGTGATTAAATTTATTATCATACAACTTACAGTCGTCGTCTCTTATTTCAAACATCACAACATCTGTAGAGACTCGAAACATCCCAGACTGAGGTACAGTTTCAGCATTAGGTAGAAGAGACACATTAAACAATTGAAAATGGAATTCTTCATCATTCTGAATGTTGAAGACAGCCTTGAGATTGACACACGTCATGTTGTCACACTTATCAACAGTAACATCACGAAGGATTGTCTCGCCATCTCCATTTTCGGTGTCTTCATTATGTATCACGAAAAAAGATAACAAATTTTAGTTTTTTTTTCACAAATGTAAGTAGGTCGTACTTACACGTGTTCTTGGTGAAGCTAAGAGTATAGTTTACTTGAAACTCAACAGGACAGTTTTGGTCTGTTCCTTCACTTATCACAATCACACAAATATCGAATGGACCTTCATCACTTTCATAGAATACCACAATAGACGGCAATAGAGAAACACTGACCGCTGTAAAGAAGAGAGAAAAACACCAAAGCATGAGCGACAGTAAGACGTCTATCTTACTGTCATCACTCTCAATAGCCACTTCAACAGATTTCTTGGTGCAGTTGTCTGAATCAAAGAACATTCTGCCTTCAGATACCTCCACCATCAGGCTGAACCTCTGGATGCGGTTTTCCACAGTGTTATCATCAATAATGATGTCGTTCAGACTAATATTGGTCATTCCAACTGCTCCAGGAGGGATTTCAATATCCACAGTCTCTACACGGAAATCTTGTCTTGGTGTAGCCTTGTCAGCCTCATCAACAACCGGTGAAGTCAAACTCATAGCTGTGAGCCTCAGGGGGATAGGGCCCTGTACTGTTAAACCATTCTTGATTACTAGAGTGAGTATTTGATTGCTTGTTTCATCTTCGGACACAGTGTAAACTGACTGAGCGAGATCTATTTCCACTCCTGCAGAGAATTCATAAGGCTAGAGAAAGCACACATTTGAGAGAGCAAGCACACAGCCTATTCCTCTTTCACTAATCATGGCCTACAATTAATCGTTAGATTTGAAAGGTAAAAATAATATCAACAAAGAAAATATCCAGGGCAATTCTTTTTCCTACTACCTAAACAACCCACAATCCCTCCGTCATCTATAGCTCCCCTGGGTGAATATAGATGCTCTACTGCTCTACAGTGTACAGTAAACTCCTAGAACGTTAAAAAGCATATAGTTCAACACACAATGATTGGCAATTATACAGTCGCAAATATGTTCTTTGTTCAGCTTTTATCCGTGATCTACGTGTTACAATACATTTGTATGTGAAGTACAAAATCAAAATTCGATATTGGCTTTAAAATGGAAAAATTGAGGTAGTCAAGTCTGAATCCTGTACCCTTGTATTGAAATCAGAAAGCTATCCCAACTAATCATGCTATTACTATGGCTAGTGCTACAAGTAAATAAAAAATTCTTCGAATTAAAAAAGTGTGAAATATAGGGATGCCATAAAAAGTAAGGAGACAAGACAGGGATGACCTTAGTGATCGTGATGCAGTAGTACAATGGATGATGCTACATACTTGACTGGACGTCGCTTGCTCCTGTAAAATTTCCTCCACACAGCCCTATATTGTCGCACAGTACGAGCGTGCTCCCTTGTATGATGCACAGTTGTGATTTATTTCATAAGCGATTAGACAGGTAACACCATCTGCTTGGTGTTCAGTTGTGACTGCATTGTGTGAAGTCTAAGACTTATACGACTTTGCTCAACTAACAGTTTTACAATGCTGCGTTCTTGGTCACATACAGAACCGTTTTCAAAGCTGGTCTCTCGCACTCGACACTAGTCCGCCCGCACTTCACTACACAACACAGTAAAGGTGGCAACAATATAGGGCTTGTGTGGAGGAAGGTTTACAGGAGCAGTGATGTCAGTTCAAAGTAGTAGCCATCATCCATTGTATTACTGCATCGGGTTCACCAGGTCATTCCTTTCTGTCTCCTTGCTTTTTATGGCATCCCTATATTCCACACTTTTTATTTTTTTCTTACTTGTCTCCTTTCCGGCCTGTGGTTACTGCAGGCACATGCATTGTGGGCATAAAAAGAGGATATTTTTGGGCATAAGCACATAAAAAAGTAACATTAGTGGCCTTAAGCTAATCACCTCAGACGTTTTGGTGTCGTTGTTCACATTACATCAGTGCTCAAAGTTTGATTGTGAGAGGACCCATCATAAGCAAGTTATAGGCACTGACACCATTAAGTCTTTTTTGGTAATTTTCTGTTTCAATCATTCTTATCATGGTGAATTAGTGTACAGTTTCATTGTTTAGAGACCAACCACAATGTGATTATACGCACAACACCATTACAGGTGTGCCTTGATGAGAGTTTATCGAAACGGAAATTTCCAAGTTTGTAAACAACATCAGGCAATAAAACCTGTAATGGTGTTTGTGCGTATAAATCACTTGTGGTTGGTCCTCTACAATGAAACTTGGTACACTATTCACCATGATACGAATTGTTGAACAGAAATTACCAAAAAAGACTTAGGTGTCAGTGCCTATAACTTGCTTATGATGGTCCTCTCACAATCAAACTTTGAGCACTGATGTATGTGAACACGACAAAACGTCTGAGTGATAGCTAAGGCCACTAATGTGACTTTTTTTATGTGCTTATGCCACAAAATCCTCTTTTTATTGCACACATGCATGTGAAGCAGTAAAAAAAGGACGGTACAAGTAAAAAATTAAAAGTGTGGAATATAGGGATGCCATAAAAAGCAGGAGACAAGAAAGATGCTGGTGAACCCGAGCAGTAAACAATGGATGATGGCTACATACTTGAACTGACATCACTTTGCTCCTGTAAACCTTCCTCCACACAGCCCTATATGTTGCCACCTACTGTTTGTTTATGACAGTGCGAGGACAAGTGTGAAGTGCGAGGACAATGGTGAAAGGATTCTGTATAGATGGCCAAGAACGCAGCATTGTAAACTGGTTAGTTGAGCAAATGGTATACTACGTTTGGTGTTCTTGTTGTAGATCACTTCCACAATGCAGCACAACTGAAGGATCTCCAAGGTCTGGAAGGTGTGTTTTTAGGGGGTGTAGTTACGGCTGTGGGTTTGGTTGCTTTTGAAAGCTCTGTGAGCGGAATATGGACGGTGGTGTAAGTTAAGTATTGCTAAGAATTAAGGAGATGCTAGGTGGAGTAATATCGGGGCTGAGGATCAGGCAGTGTAGCGGCAGCGGGTGAGCCGCGGACTGTCGCATGAGCAAGAGAACAGCACTAGAGAAGGTGTCGACATATGAGTGGGCTTTTGAGGAAGTGGTAAGAGCACACCAGGAAAAAGAGCGATAGCCGATCGCAGGACGAGGCGGAAAAAAGTGGTGTCTTTTCGTAATGTGAAAGAACGAACGAAGAGGGCGAAGGAAGGAGAAAAGAGGTCTCTGTTAAAGACTATGATCGGGAAGTGACTCGTAGGTGGGGTAAAGGGTGACGGGCAAGAACGATGACAGTAGGAGACGGGAGAGGAAGAAGAAAGAGGAAGAACCGAAAGGGGGGCCAGGAAGCCAGCGAAGGGGGAGGGGACGGCACAGACAGGGGAGTGGAACACTATCACGGAGAAAGCTGAACAAAGAACTAGGGGCGACGAGAAATGGCCAATCAGGGGGGGGACGATATGCGGGTAACAACCGGGCTGAGGACTGGACACGAACATAAGCAGCGAGATCACCCAGGGGAGCGATGATGACGGAGGATTGGGGGGTGTTTTGTTATGATATCGAGTGTATTATTCAAAGCTCTGTTCGTGAGATACTGAGATGATGGCCGGTGGTTGAGAGATTGGTTTACCTGCAAAGTCGAACATTAAGGGTAGCAGGATTAAGGAGAGAAGAGGCGGGGTGCTGCTCGCGGCGACGGTGGTCTTTCGCTGCGGGCATGATGCTCTGCAGTAGTGGAAAGAGCTCCTCGGCGGGTTGGTGAGTCTGCTATGTCCAGATGAAACAAGCAAGGGTAAATACTCGACGGGTCTATAATCAGAAGGGTTTAACATGTACAGGGCCCTATCCCCTGAGGCTCACAGCTATGAGTTGACTTCACCGGTTGTTGAGGAGGCTGACAAGGCTACACCAAGACAAGATTTCCGTGTAGAGACTGTGGATATTGAAATCCCTCCTGGAGCAGTTGAATGACCATATAGTCTGAACGACATCATATTGATGATAACACGTGGAAACCGCATCCAGAGGTTCAGCCTGAGGTGGAGGTATCTGAAGGCAGAATGTTCTGTGATTCAGACAACTGCACCAAGAAATCTGTTGAAGTGGCTATTGAGAGTGATGACAGTAAGATAGACGTCTACTGTCCTCATGCTTTGGTGTTTTTCCTCTTCTTTACAGCGGTCAGTGTTTGCTCTATGCGTCTATTGTGTATTCTATGAAGTGATGAGGTCCATTCGATATTGTGTGATTGTGATAAGTGAAGGAACAGACCAAAACTGTCCTGTTGAGTTTCAGTAAACTATACTCTTAGCTTCACCAAGAACACGTGTAAGTACGACCTACTTACATTTGTGACTAAAATTTTGTTATCTTTTTTCGTGATACATAATGAAGACCCGAAAATGGAGATGCGAGACAATCCTTCGTATGTTACTGTTGATAAGTGTGACAACATGACGTGTGTCAATCTCAAGGCTGTCTTCAACATTCAGAATGATGAAGATTCCATTTTCAATTGTTAATGTGTCCTCTTCTACCTAATGCTGAAACTGTACCTCAGTCTGGATGTTCGAGTCTCTACAATGTTTTGATGTTTGAAATAAGAGACGACGACGTAGTTGTATGAAATAATTTAATCACTTACCAGTTGTTCTCTCTTTTGACTATAGTACTTCAGATTAGCTGGAACACAGGAATACTATGTTTGTTGAGTCTACCAGTGCTGTCAGCATCTGTCTGTAATAGAAAATGTGGGGATGAGGATTGTCCAATAGATGCTTTCTCTACACCGTGTCACACATGTGGTGGAAATGCAAGTAGGGTACTGAGCTGATGTACAGCAGCAATCTAAATATGAAACAGGCGCTTGAAGATGTACAGAACATTGGTACCCCTTGGTGTTCTAACGGTTTAACTGTTGAAGTCGGTAAAGAGAAGAGCTTGCTTCAAATTGATATTTTGGACTCATCCCCTCTTCATGAAGATGTTGAATACTTCGAGTTTGACTGACTCTCGAGAATGATGCGTTCAGGTTTGCAGAGCTGGTGACACACAAGAGAGTCTTCATCATACCAAGCGTATGTGCTAGTGGTTTTTATCGCATTATAAGGAGTGTTCCATGCATCGAGCTGGTGGTTATAACATTTTTTCTTTCTACAAAGTGATGAATTCCCTAGTCCTTCCCACTCTAAATTCCTCCCTGTAGCTACAGTCAATCTTATGGCAGAATCATTTACTGCGTGAAGCAGATGAAAGTTACAGTCCTGTGCTTCTCTCTCCAACTATGACACCCGCTATAATATCAGCGTATACATTATGTGGTTCCTACTCTTTGGGAAAACCCGCAATCTGCAGGTAAGCCAGCACTTGCATTATTATATATTATGTTGTGTTTTGAATCATCCAACACCCCATATCACTGCAGATATGATGACTCAGCAATAACCTTAGAGATGAGGTTTAATTCCATGGGGCAGTGTTTAGATCATACTAATTGATGAGAACATGGTTGAAGTAGACAGAGGGTATTTTTTGGTGGGAGTGTGTTCGAGTCACACTTGAATCACCACACAACAATGTTCGGTAGAGAAGTAATATCAGCACGGTTGTATCGTTGATGAAGATTGTAGTGATAGATAGCAAGCCTCTCCGCTCGCAATTAACTTCATTTATAATTAGTGTTCAGATATTCTGGGGGAATTAAATCGTGACGTTGACCAATTTCTTTCCTGTACGAAGGGAATCGTGATCACGAGAGTGGTGCTAGTGTAGTGGATACTGCGGGTTGATTCCGTCTGCCCCAGTCAATTTGATGCTTCTATGCCTGCCTTTCGAAAGTGTCAGTGCAGGTCTGTATGTGCACAGTGTTTCTATAGAAATACGACACGCGTTTTTATTTTTTCAGTACGCCTGGAGATTTTCAGGCAAATAGCCTTGCTTACAGCAATCAAGCAATGTGATCAACAGTGGGGTGAACATGGTCTATCAGGATGATATAGTGAGACGGACGAGGGTTTCAGGTGATGTTACAAATAGTCCAGCCTACAACCAAGCATTAGAGTGATCGGACCAGATATGACATACATCAGGATAATGATGGTAAATAACAGGCTTGTAAGTCAAGGATTAGTAAGCTCCCCTCTTCCATGGCAGTTGTCACCATTGGTCCTGACCCGTCAATATCAATGTTAATGAATCGAGGTGTGGTTGAAGTTTGCATTGTTGCAGAAGATGGGTTTGATGGGGACGTCCATAGGTTTTCCTCTGTAATCGACACTTCAATCAGTGAAGGGCTAGCTCATATGTATAATTGTTAAGGCTATCAGTTTTATTACTTTAGATTAATACTGAAAGTCTCGTATTGGAGAGTGTGATGAATTAGTCAATGCCTTGTGCTGTCAATACTGATTATGATCGGGTTGAAGAAGACGAACAATTGAGCATTATTCTGAAGAACACATATGAGATGGAAAATATTTTACCAGGAGTGGTTCTCTCACCGTCATTGACGATGATGGTATGTTAACGTACTGTTATCAGCGACCTTGAACTTTTGTGCAAAACATACACGGAGCTCTAAATACAGCTCTTTCACTTTCTTGTAGAGTAACGGTGAAGAAGCGCCAAATTTTTACGTGGCTCACTGTTTCCTACCTATACTATGGCACTGTTGCAGAAGTTTCAGACCTAATGATTTGTGGAATCCCTCAGTTGCAGCATACTGTGCCATAGCACAGTGGTTTGAGTCTTGCCTTTGTCTTGTATTGTTTGGAAGATTTGAACCTGTACAAGCTGAGTTGCTCAGTTGGGAGGGCACTTGCCTAGACAGCAGGGTGTCGTCGGTTCGAATCCCACTCAGGGCAGCTCTTCCCTTTTCCTTGGAAGAGCTGTCTTCGTTTGTTGACACATGCCTGAAGTATAAAGAACAACCTGTCACTTCTCCAACGATTTTTGTAAAGTAATTTTATGCATCTGCCCATCTTTGAATGTGCATAAAAATTCCTTTGTCTTTACACGGCACGATTAATGTTCCCACACTCAATTAAACTGCAATTTCCGTTGATTACTGGAGAAACACTAATAAGACCTATGAGGATTTGCAAAGGTGCAGCCCAGAAGGTTGCTGAAGTAGTTTTGAATAATTGGCGAGCGAAGTGAGCCCACCTGGTCATCCGAATGCAAATGTTTCTAAATAATGTGCAGGTACTGCCACCTAGCTTAACGTCATATTGTGTAACTAAACCTCTAAGTTCAAAGTACATTTGCAGACAATCTGTCCTAACGGTTCCAAAGCCCATTGAAGCCCCGTAGAGCTTTATACACACAACCACCACAGTGTACCATTTCTCTACAGCTACCAAGTCAAGACTTCGCTTAGCGCATCATTCTAAGTCCTACTGTTACCATTGAAGATGAAGATGGTTTGTTGCCTGACCTGGTTGTTCGCTTGAGTGCCGGTAGACGCTCTATTTAGGGATGGCACGGTTCAAACCTCACGTGATCTGCATACAAAATGCCTCAAAACTCGGCGACAATGACTCCCTAGGTTTCATAAATCACTAGCAATAGTCTACAGGCCCATGTTTAGCTAGCAAGATTTCTTACGTGGCCTCAGTTCTCTAAACGAGAATTTGCTCATACTCGATTTCACGATTTCGTCATCATCATCGTATTCTTCAATCCCGCTATCTCCTTACCAGAACAAGTTGCAGCCTTGATTTTTCCACTGAACGTCTCCAGGTTCCACGGAGGTGTGCACGGCCATCAAGTGATCGTTTCTTCGTTGTGACAAGTCCCTACGGTTGATCTTTTAGCTCCACCTGGTAGATCGACACTGAACGACGCCATTTCCTGCTAACTCAGCAGCACACTCCATGCAGGGGCGTTGTCCGGATGCGTGTGCATTGTGCTTGCTTTATCAGGCTGAATCAGTTGATCTTCATATCAGAGTAAAGTAAATGCTATGTAGTCAGAGTGGTTCATAAAAATAATGGAAACAAGTGGAAAAATCATTTCTTCAAAACGAAGGGGGATATAGGAGTGGCTCAAAGCGCCAAAAAGAAAAGAACAAGGGGTCATTTCACAGCAAAGAGTTCCACTCGTTTCCATTATTTTTTTAAGAATGAGAATTCTGCCTACACCAATGTGACTAAAAAGCATGCCACAATCACAATAATCGATGACGACAATGAGTTAAATTTCAGTGTTGATTAAATGGGAAACTTTTGCTACAGCAAAATAGGCATGTGACGTGTTTTAACTGCCACAGATGCTACTGTGGGCCTAGAGGAAATATTTTATTCAGTCAACGAAGGAGCCAGCCTCGAAGTATGTGCCAGAGTGACATCTCCAAATATCTCGTGTCCTATCAACTATGGATTCAGTCTCATGATCTCTACTGCTCCTATTGATGCAGGTTTAAATGTTATACAAATCGTACCTCATTAAGAATTACGCAAAATGTGCAAGACTTTCTGCCAAGTGTACCTAAGTGATGTAGTTGGTAAGTGTTATATATTGTAAAAGTGGGGTCCTTGATTCAATCTTTACCACCAAAACCTGTGCTTTCCCCCGTTATGATTCGTAGTTGTGTTGCTTTGGCCCAAAGAGTTATATATATATAGTCAACTTTCTTTCTCTCTCACTCCTTTTGTCTAGTAACTGGTGAGGACTATGAGCCTCTCAACAACAAGAAACTATACTTCGAACCATGTCAGACAAAGTCATGCATCAATATAAGCACTATAGAAGATGGCTGTGTTGTGGAACTAGTAAAGAATTTCACAGTTATGCTGCGAAGGGATGCAGTTGACGGCATAAAGATAGCGCCATCAGAAGCCAGCATTGTAATCCATGACAGTGATGGTGAATTATAACCCCTGCCCTATATCCCAGTTACTCTAACCTAATCTTCCTCTTCAACAGTGGCTTATGTGCGAATCGTGGGAGGCAGGAGAGATGTGCCCGTAAATGAGGGTGATGGTTATGCGAGGTTGTTCTTGGCAACCACTGATGAATTTGGCTCAATGACTTGCCGTGTCCTGTTTGACTTTACTGTTGCTGTGTACACCGAAGCAGGAACTGCCAGTACATAATACTGTTTGTTCTTATAGTGCGATGTTTAAAAGAGTCTTGTTTCCCTCTACAGCGATTAACAAAGACTACGAACATAGCAGCAGAAATATTCAGTTCAGTAGAGATCTTGTAGAATCCGTGGGGATAAGAATCATTGACGACGACACAGTGGACAGTAACAGGGAGGAGACCTTTCAAGTCATCTTGCAAAACACACCAGGCGTGATGCAACGGATCAAGCTGGTCAGGACACCTGTAACAGTTGTCATAAGAGATAACGACGGTATGTGACAGATGTCGGTTCCTCCACGCAAACTTTTTGTTTACCTTTGTATTGTGGTGTGTAGTTTGAAGTCCTCTGCCTGGAGCTTTAGGTTCATGTCCCACCCAGGACAGCATTTGGGAAAAAGTGTTTTCCTGGATTTAGTTTTTCCTTCATTTTTGTGGTCATAGGTTCCACTCTCCCACCCAGGGGAGCTTCTTTCTTGATTGGGTTTAGCCACCTCCCTAATGTAGTACTGTTTCCAAGGAATTATACATAATCCTGAGAAAAATTTTATTCCTTTTCTCTTCAGTTGCAACATTTGGTCTAGAGAGAGCTTTCTGCCAGGTTGATGAAGATGTAACACTCAGAGTGTGTGTCGTTCTCCGTGACATGAAACAAGACTGCCCTGTAGAGTTTCCATTTGACCTCAGACTTAAAGCAATAGGTAAGGAAGGAAGGGCTCTTGTGTAGCTTTTCTGCAGTGCTAGCGACACACTCTCTCTGTTTACACAGCTGCGACAGCAACATCAGGGGACCACGATGCCAATGCGAATGACATCACAATTGAAAAGTGTAGTCGGTCACAGTGTACAAATATTACAGTGTATGACGACAGTTCCCTGGAATTTGATGAAACATTCTACATTTTCCTGCTGAAGTTTCCCAACCACGACGCAAGAATTCTGCTTGATGTTGTGAAGAAAACAGTCACTATAGAAGATAATGACAGTAAGACACTGGTTTTCTTTCACGGTTTATTTTGTAACTCGCACAACTGTTTTTTGGTCCAGACATCAGTATTATATTCGATTATCCGGCAATAGTGGTTGAGGGCTTTCCAGTACTAGTTTGTCTGTTGATTGAGGGAAGCCCCAGGAGCGATTGTCCTTCGTCGTTTGAAATACGAGTTCTGCTTTGGACTGATGATGGAACTGCAAGTAAGTGCACACTTTGGGATGTGCGGCGTGATTCACTTCATCTTTTCTCAATAGCTTACAGAGGGAGTCTTCCTGACTATGTCCGACAAATAAGAACACTCACAATACCTGTTTGTGCAAAGGACTTCTGCTATAGTATTTCAGCGATCGATAATTTATCAGTGGAGAAGCATGAATATTTCTACGTAACTTTGACACATGGTTCCAATGGGTATTTGAATGAGAGAATCAATATCCCTACACCCACTAAACGATACGAAATTCTTGACGATGATAGTAAGTTGTGTAGTTCCTATTGGGAAGTGAGTTGTCCTAGTACAGTTTGTATGTTGAGTACTATAGTGAACTGGGATCTATCACTAAGTACGATAGTACTTACTATATGGGATGGTATATACCTAGCATCATAGATGTATTGGGCTATGATTGGGAGTTTTGTTCATCATCTTCTTCTTAATATGTATTACCTATATACCAAGTTTTAGCTTCAGCACTTTGTGTTGCTGGTGGAGAAACAGCCGGTAGATAAAGAACCGTTTTTGGTCTCTCGTTGGTTTACAGGCGCAGTATGCAGAAATGCGCATGAAATAAATATATTGCAGCTGTGCAGTTTGTAGCCTTTCTCTCCTAGCTCTTACCATTAGCGTTATGATCCTCTTGAAAACTGGCTACACACTTCTCCACACGTTTCGATGCTATGCACAAGTTCCTTTGGCATGTAAGGAGTGGCAAAATTAAAATTCCTTATTTGCATCACGTAATAAAAAGGATGCACACTTCAACTAACCTGCGTGATTCTTTTGATCTAGTGGCTGTTGTGGAAATATCAGCCCCTACAAATGTGCCGGAGTATAGGCGGTTATTCAGAGTATGTCTCAATGTGAGGACGCCGGGAAACAGACGGTCTTGTCCAGTAGCTTTCCAGTTCACTGTCTACATCGTTAAAGAAGATGTCACTACAGGTTTGTTATCATTTAAGAAGGGGTGTTATGTGCATTTCATTGGTTAAATCGCATGCAAGAATTGTTCTTGAGGAAACAAAAGATGGTCTTATAAGAGGGGTATCCTCATTTCAGGGGTGTCCTTAGAGAGGCGTCCTCATTTTGAGGGTGTCCTTAAGGAGGGATTCCATTCCACTGTATTTTCACCAACCACACAGCCATCCATTGGACAAGGGGGACTTTGAGGAAACTGATAGTGCCTTTACTCAGATGTGTCCATTTTCTGAGGCAGAATACAGTGTCGTTTGAGAGGTATCTTTTTTCAGATGCCGCTGACTATGATAGAAGCAGAGTTGACGTGACATTCAGACCCTGTGTTGCTCGGCAGTGTGTAGCTGTACCCATAATAGATGACTGCAGTCTGGAAAGAGACGAAAATTTCACTATTTCGTTGGAACCAGAAGTGTTCCTTACAGATAGGATCATTACAGGCGATAGTCTCACAGTCACTATTGAAGACAATGACAGTAAGAAATCATCCTATAGTAGAAAAACTTGAGTTTAATGTCCCTTTTTTTCAGACACTTTCATTGAGATGGAGCATACCGAGTATAAAGTATTCGAGAATGCAAGTCAGATTGAAGTTTGTGCTGTTATAAGACCAGCTGGCTGCAGACCATCAATAGAGTTCCCTGTGCGTATTTACACTCGTTCTGATAGCGCAGGTACGTATGTATACACCACTTTCAACCTCAAAGTTTTTAAAATCTAACACTCTCTATTCAGAAGCTACAGGGCTAAGTGCAGACTATGTTAGCGCTGAAACCAATTTGATCTTCTCTTCGTCCGTCAACAAGGCGTGCATGACCATCAACATCCTTGACAATATTCAGGTGGAGCATCTCGAAGAATCTTTCTACGTGACTCTCGAACAAGTAGCAAATACGCCTGGTGGGGTAATCCTGACCCGTAATATTGCCGAGGTGATCATCGTTGATAACGATGGTAAGCCCCTTCCAAAGCACGTTTGAGCATTTTTATCATGTTCTGTCTTTAAGGAGGATAGCTTTCACACAAGGGTCTTAGAGATTACTAGTACCACATATGGGCAAAACCCTACACAGGTCTACACATGCGTATGTAAAGTATGTGCAGAGTCACTGCTGGAGCAAACCCGTGCATGTATTACACTACCACCTGTCCTTGGCATGGCCTTCTCCCTAAACTTGCTAGCTCTCTAACTTCTAGCTTCAGGCAACGTTCAATATGAGCAGCTATGATAATAATGTTTTAGTGAACGAACCACAGCCTTAGAAAATGGCCATGTCTCTAGCAGATGACGTGAATCCTATTTTCAGCGAGAAAACTCAAATATTGCGGTTTATGCAGATAAAATCTTTATCTGATGTAGCCCACACATAAAATAGTGGGACAGAGAGGAATTGTTGGTTTGTGGATCTTTGGCAAACCGTACAAAGGTGGAATTACGCTGCCTGATGGACGTATGAACTAGTAAGACTTGTCTGGGAGTAACTGTAGCTGAAAATGGGTTAAATTTCTTTCGTACGTCAACGTTGGATCTTTAGCAGTCGCTTGTATTGGTCTTCGCCAAGAAGAGCAAGTGCTTTCTCCTCATATTCTAACTGGTTCATCACAACTGTCGCACGTCCTTTGTCAGCTAGTAGAATCATCAACTTTGCTCTCTTCATGGCCTTCTTCTCTGCAAGACTTATGTTTGCACAAGTTGGAGTTGCCTTCTTCAAAACAACAGACACGTCACTCCGGACTGATTCAACTTCTGTATCCGGAAGGCCTCTCAAAGCATTTTCAATAGGAACTACAAAACTTAGAGCATCTGTTTTTGAAAGAGTGATGTTGAAACTTAGGCCTTTCTTCAGTAGGGATTGTTCTGAACCAGAAAGTTGATAGTTGAAATACTGATAACCCAACGACTTTATCAACTGCTTTATCGTAGCTGGTGTTTTCCTCTGTGTTTGATGGTGTTTTGACCCTTAGTCCTCTGAATTTTTTCACCTTGCGAAATCCATTCATGTAGGAATTTTGTTGCATAGTTGAAGAACCCTGTCAAATTCCTCAGGAGAGAGGTTTCTTAAGTAGTGACTCATATTGATCCACATGCATGATGTGACATTGGAGGATAGATCTTGTAACTGAAACTCTTTCTCGTAGTAGACGGAGACCGGTATTTCGCAAAATATCTCTTGCATGCGTTGTATTGACCTGTGTATATATTCACCAGTGACCGCAGATCACGAAGAATTTTACGATGAATGTCAAGTGATTGTTGTACCTTGCAACTTGAAAAACAGAAACATTGGTCTGGAGGTTTCTTGTGTGTGGGATAGCCTCTTGCAATGACTTGTTCGTTTTTTTGAAACCCACTGTGTATTTAGATTTCATCTCAGTTCTCGGTTGGTTGTTCATATAAGACTAAGTTTTAAGTCACGAAATCTGCTGGTCAGCCTTTTCATTGTTCTTAGCTCGTAATCCATGTTGATAACCTGTTTTTCTTATGGCATTGAGTAACTAACAACACACTTCGTGACTCAAAACTTAGTCTTATATGAAGTAACAGGGCAGCTCTTTTTTGTACTCATCCCTGAGGAAGGTCCTCGTGAGAGGACTGAACTGTTGGAAAATAGGTTTCACTCACTCTGGTACAAATAAGAATGAAAAGCACTGAAGTGTAAACCCTCGGCGCACTACACATGCGCGGTATCGCTAATTGATGGGCTGGGGGCTAGGCTATGGCAGTTACTCGTGGTCTCCCGCTAGTGTATAGCTCGAGGAGAGTCTGACACGGGCTAGGTAGATTGCATGAGGGAGTCCATACACACCCTCTGTTGTAACTTCTTGTGCCTCCAAGGTATGCGGAGTAGGCCGATCAGTTCGAGGTAAGCCAGCGCGATTATGGCTTTTTCACTTGTATTCACCGCATATCTCTCGAATGCAGTCATTTCAGAAAAATCGCCTAATTAGTTTTGAGGTTCGCGTAGTTCTGAAGCCGTTGGTATTGCTCATTGGCCACCTCATAGCCTGTAGTGCCAGAATAAGCGTCGACACATACACACACAGACAGACAGACAGAACGACTACTGTAACCCTCACTGCGCATGCGCACCGAGGGTTAATTGGTTAGTCATTTGAGTTATGTGCTGAGACAAAGAAGTCTTCGACAGATGGAGATATACAAGGGAAATGGGCGGGGGTATCTGTTGTTTTTTATGTTCTGCAGTTGCTACAGTGGAGTTTGAAAGTAGGGCGTACAGTGTGAAAGAGAATGCTGGACAAGCGCTAGTGTGTGTGGCTATCACCAGTCAACATTCCTACTGTCCCATTGGCTATGACTTCTCACTAATACTCGGAGCAGACGGTGAAGATGGTGGTGCAAGTAAGAATTTTAATTACGCAAATGTGTCTGTACTTGGAATGAATGAGGAAGACCAGCTTTTGTCTGGGAACTGTAGCTCAGTGCCTAGTGCACTGGACTTAAAGTCATAACACCTGAGTTTGACTCCTAACAAATGTTTGTTCTTTCTCTTTCCCACCTGACCTATTAGAGCGTCAGTAGACGCTCTATGTAGGGATGGCACGAGTGAAATCTCATGTGATCCGCGTACAAAACGACTAAAACTCGGTGAGAATGACTACCTAGGCCTTCAAAACACACTAGCAATAGTCTACGGGCCCATATCTGATGTTCTCAAACGCACCTTCAGTTGTCCACGCAAGAATTCGCGCATACGCGATTTCACGATTTTTGCGTTATCATATTCTCTTTCTTCTTCTTCTTCTTCTTTAGACCCGCTTTCCTTGCTGGAACGAGTTAAAGCACTGATTTTTTCACTGAACATCTCCAATTTTGCCGGATGTATGCACGGACATCAAGCGATCGTTTCTTTCTTGCCGCAAGTTGCTACGGTAGATCACGGAGCTCTTCCATGGTCGACACTGAACAACGCCATTTTTGTTGCTAACTCAACACCAGTGAGCCGCGTGCATGCACCAGGCAGGGGCGCGCTGTGCACGCGTATTACTAGGCGGGTTGACAGACCTGCAGAGGAACTCTCAGCCTCCAGTGCCTTCTGGAAGTCAGTGTGCACATGCCCAACTACCTAGCTTGTGTTTGGCACTTGATTTGCACGAGGAGCAACTAGGCAGGGTCAGCGCAGTGTTATGCGAGCATTGCTAGGCGCACAAATGGGCCTTCATTGTTCGTCCCAAAGCCTGCCCATGAAACCACAACCATGTGCCATAACCTAATTACATCTTTGTTGAAGACAATACCTGAGATGAATATGGTATCTAGCTCCTGCTTCAGGCACTAGCAGCCCATTAGCTACAGCTTTCAACAATTAGAGAGAGAAAAAGAAATTGTCCTTGGTAACCTATCTGCAACATACCCAATGAACATTAGAGTGACTGTAACAATAAAATGCAGTGTTGTCATAAGCTGTTAAACAAGTGGAAAAATCATTTCTTCAAAATGAAGGGGGATATAGGGATGGCTTGAAGCACCAAAAAGGAAGAAACAAGGGGTCATTATACAGCAAAGATGCACAAAGCTATATGACACCATCCCTATATCTTTGTTTTATTGTTCATCAGCAAAGTTTAAAATCGAACAAAGATATAGGGATGGTGTCATGTAGCTTTGTGCATCTTTGCTGTGTAATGACCCCTTCATAACCCCTTGTTAACCCTCAGCGCGCAGCGCAGCGAGGGTTACAGTAGTTGGGTCTGTCGGTCTGTGTGTCTGTTATTCTTAATCTCACTTCTCGAGTGTTCGTTCATCTCACAAAGGATACGACCTACTCAAAGGTCAGAAATTTCGAACGGTTTTCTCAGAAAACGCTCCGTTGCAAATCTAGAGCGCTTCCACCATTGTATGGCTAATGCGTAGTCGGCCATTTTATCGCTGCGGAAAATGCGCATGCGCTTATATTTTGAACGGACCGGGTCCGCTTGCTCTGTGTATGTTGAAGGTACAAGAAGTCACAACGAAGGGCATGTATCGACTCTCGCATGCTATCCACTACTGTAGCTAGCCCGTGTCAGACTCTCTGCGAGTTACTAGCGGGAGACCACGAGTAAACGCATACTAATAGCCCAGCCCATCAATTAGCAGTACCGCGCATGCGCAGTTCGCCAAGGGTTTGCACTTTAGTGCTTTTCATTTCTTCATTTTTGGTGCTTCAAGCCATCCCTATATATGCCCCTTCATTTTGAAAAAATGATTTTTCCACTTGCATATGTATTTATACAAGTTCTTCATTCTTCCATCTACCATGTCAACTAAGAAGTCTGTTGTGATGCACTGAGAAACACTTTGTGCTCTTTAATAATGTTTTCCTCAACTTTCTGTACACAGATGAAATGGACTATGTATCCCAGGACGCGATGGGTGATCTAACGATTGAAGCATGTCACCGAAGGCAGTGTTTCTCCGTTCGTATTGTGGATACCAAAGAGGTGGAGGAAGAGGAGAGTTTTGACATCAGTCTCGTGAGGAACAATGGGCTTGATCCTCTCATCCAAATAGGCACCCGCAGCACAACAACCGTTACCATCCGAGACGATGATAGTAAGTTAGAGATTAATGTGTTGTCTTCACATGACCAACTGTTTCCCATCCGCAGCGGCTACATTTGGTCTGACTGAAGCTGAGTACAGAGTAGAGGAAGGCCAAACACTGACAGAGACTGTGTGTGTGGAGTTGTTAGAAGGAAGTGGAGACTGTGTTGTGCCATTCTCCATCAATGTTATATTCAACACCAGGAACATTTCAGGTAAGAATAGAGGAGGCGTGGACGTTACTCAATAAGCAATCTTCTTGTTTCGAATCACAATCTTCTTCATTTCAGCTGATTCACCTGGAGACTATGAAGCTCTGAGTGGGGTCGAGGCATGTATCCCTCCCTGCACATCTCTATTCTGTGTTAACCTCGAAACGGTTAATGATGAGCTAATAGAAGGGGATGAAAACTTGTATGTGTCGCTAACCAGAGGCTTCAGCTGGGATTCTAGAATCATTTTAAATCGCTCGCATTCTGAGGTTACCATCGAGGATGATGACGGTTAGTAGCACATGCTTTTTTGTGTGTGAGGTATTCTAATTACTGTGCTCCACACAATGCAGCTGCCAGAGTCACCATCCAAAGCTCGAACTACAGAGTTAACGAAGCTGATAGACGAGTGACAATCTGTGCTCGAGTGCGAAGTCCTTTCCCAGTCAGTGCAGACTGTGAACTAGACTTTTCCTTCAGTGTCAGATTGGTTCCAATTGCTGGAACAGCAGGTAATCTTATTTTACAGCAAGACTTCCATCTTCCACCACTTTAACGTACTAGTAACTCTGTATTTATTTTCTCACTGTAGGACCTTCAGATTATGGATCATCAATAACAGTGTACTTCGCAAGATGTGATAATGAAGCCTGTGCAACAATAAATATTCGTGACGACTCCGTCATGGAGAAGGCAGAGGAAGAGTTTATTGTCTCTCTGCAAAGTGCAAATACTGACACCAGAGTTAGAGCTAGCGCTAGGACCAGCACTCTCCAGATTACTGATGATGATGGTGGGTGCATTTAGTTCTAGTTACTCAGTGATGAAATGATATTTCTCTCACCAGACGTGACCATTGGTTTGCAGTATAGTGCATACACTGTGGAAGAGTCAAGTGGTAGGGTGCAGGTGTGTGCCCTGATAAATGGAACAAGTGATATCTACAGCACAGTCCGTCTAGCCACAAGCTCCAGCACTGCCGGTAACTAGCTCTAAGTAGCACGTTTGAATCTAAGGGTCCACCTACATACATGGTTCTCCAATGATGTTCTTCCTCTCCTCAGGCACTGGCACACCGTCAGATTTTTACAGCGAGTCTCATAGTGTGACATTCAAGCCAAGAATTTCCCGACAATGTGTCTATTTCAACATCACGGATGACAATATTGTGGAAGAGAGGGAGTACTTCAATGTCACTTTGGGAAGGACTGCAGACCTGGACGATAGAGTTCAGCTTAGACAAACATCTACAACCATTTTTATCGACGATAATGACAGTATGAATGTTACACATTGTTCTTAATGTGATGTTATGAGATTAATGTGTTGTTGTCACATGACCAACTGTTTCCCATCCGCAGCGGCTACATTTGGTCTGACTGAAGCTGAGTACAGGGTAGAGGAAGGCCAAACACTGACAGAGACTGTGTGTGTGGAGTTGTTAGAGGAAAGTGGAGACTGTGTTGTGCCGTTCCCTATCAACGTTATATTCAACACCAGGGACATGTCAGGTAAGAATAGAGGAGGCATGGACGTTACTTAATAAGCAATCTTCTTGTTTCGAATCACAACCTTCTTCATTTCAGCTGATTCACCTGGAGACTATACAGCTCTGAGTGCAGTCGAGGCATGTATCCCTCCCTGCACATCTCTATTCTGTGTTAACCTCGAAACCGTTAATGATGAGCTAATAGAAGGGGATGAAAACGTGTATGTGTCGCTAACCAGAGGCTTCAGCTGGGATTCTAGAATCATTTTAAATCGCTCGCATTCTGAGGTTACCATCGAGGATGATGACGGTGAGTAGCACATGTTTTTTTGTGTGTGAGGTATTCTAATTACTGTGCTCCACACAATGCAGCTGCCAGAGTCACCATCCAAAGCTCGAACTACAGATTTAACGAAGCTGATAGACGAGTGACAATATGTGCTCAAGTGCGAAGTCCTTTCCCAGTTAGTGCAGACTGTGAACTAGACTTTTCCTTCAGTGTCAGATTGGTTCCAATTGCTGGAACTGCAGGTAATCTTATTTTATAGCAAGACTTCCATCTTCCACCACTTTAACGTACTAATAACTCTGTATTTATTTTCTCACTGTAGGACCTTCAGATTATGGATCATCAATAACAGTGTACTTCGCAAGATGTGATAATGAAGCCTGTGCAACAATAAATATTAGTGACGACACCATCATGGAGAAGGCAGAGGAAGAGTTTATTGTCTCTCTGCAAAGTGCAAATATTGACACCAGAGTTAGAGCTAGCGCTAGGACCAGCACTGTCCAGATTACTGATGATGATCGTGGGTGCATTTAGTTCTAGTTACTCAGTGATGAAATGATATTTCTCTCACCAGACGTGACCATTGGTTTGCAGTATAGTGCATACACTGTGGAAGAGTCAAGTGGTAGGGTGCAGGTGTGTGCCCTGATAAATGGAACAAGTGATATCTACAGCACAGTCCGTCTAGCCACAATCTCCGGCACTGCCGGTAACTAGCTCTAAGTAGCACGTTTGAATCTAAGGGTCCACCTACATACACGGTTCTCCAATGATGTTCTTCCTCTCCTCAGGCACTGGCACACCGTCAGATTTTTACAGCGAGTCTCATAGTGTGACATTCAAGCCAAGAATTTCCCGACAATGTGTCTATTTGAACATCACGGATGACAATATTGTGGAAGAGAGGGAGTACTTCAATGTCACTTTGGGAAGGACTGCAGACCTGGACGATAGAGTTCAGCTTAGACAAACATCTACAACCATTTTTATCCTTGATGATGACAGTATGATGTTACACATTGTTCTTAATGTGATGTTATGAGATTAATGTGTTGTTGTCACATGACCAACTGTTTCCCATCCGCAGCGGCTACATTTGGTCTGACTGAAGCTGAGTACAGGGTAGAGGAAGGCCAAACACTGACAGAGACTGTGTGTGTGGAGTTGTTAGAGGAAAGTGGAGACTGTGTTGTGCCGTTCCCTATCAACGTTATATTCAACACCAGGGACATGTCAGGTAGGAATAGAGGAGGCGTGGATATTACTTGATAAGCAATCTTCTTGTTTCGCATCACAACCTTCTTCTATTCAGCTGATTCACCTGGAGACTATGAAGCTCTGAGTGCGGTCGAGGCATGTATCCCTCCCTGCACATCTCTATTCTGTGTTAACCTCGAAACCGTTAATGATGAGCTAATAGAAGGGGATGAAAACTTGTATGTGTCGCTAACCAGAGGCTTCAGCTGGGATTCTAGAATCATTTTAAATCGCTCGCATTCTGAGGTTACCATCGAGGACGATGACAGTGAGTAGCACATGCTTTATTTGTGTGTGACGTATTCCAATTTATGCTCCATAAAATGCAGGTGCCAGAGTCACCATCCAAAACTCAAACTACAGAGTTAACGAAGCCGATAGGCGAGTGACAATCTGTGCTCAAGTGCGAAGTCCTTTTCCAGTCAGTGCAGACTGTGAACTAGACTTTTCCTTCAGTGTCAGATTGGTTCGAATTGCTAGAACTGCAGGTAATCTTTTTTACAGCAAGACTTCCATCTTCAACCACTTATTTTACGTACTAGTAACTCTGTATGTATTTTCTCACCACAGGACCATCAGATTATGGATCATCAATAACACTGTACTTCGCAAGATGCGCTATGGAAGCCTGTGGAACAATAAGTATTCGTGACGACTCCATCTTGGAGAAGGGCGAGGAAGAGTTTATTGTCTCTCTGCAAAGTGCAAATACTGACACCAGAGTTAGAGTCAGCCGTAGGACCAGCACTGTCCATATTACTGATGATGATGGTGGGTGCATTTAGTTCTAGTTACTCAGTGATGAAATGATATTTCTCTCACCAGACGTGACCATTGGTTTGCAGTATGGTGCATACACTGTGGAAGAGTCAAGTGGTAGGGTACAAGTGTGTGCCCTGATGAGTGGAACAAGTGATATCTACAGCACAGTCCGTCTAGCCACAATCTCCGGCACTGCCGGTAACTAGCTCTAAGTAGCACGTTTGAATCTAAAGGTCCACCTACATACATGGTTCTCCAATGCTCTCCCCAGGCATTGGCACACCGTCAGATTTTGACAGCGAGTCTCATAATATGACATTCAAGCCAAGAATTTCCCGACAATGTGTATATTTCAACATCACGGACGACAATATTGTGGAAGAGAGAGAGTACTTCAATGTCAATTTGGGAAGGACTGCAGACCTGGACGATAGAGTTCAGCTTAGACAAACATCTACAACCATTTTCATCCTTGATGATGACAGTATGATGTTAAACTTTGTTCTTAATGTGATGTTATGAGATTAATGTGTTGTTGTCACATGACCAACTGTTTCCCATCCGCAGCGGCTACATTTGGTCTGACTGAAGCTGAGTACAGAGTAGAGGAAGGCCAAACACTGACAGAGACTGTGTGTGTGGAGTTGTTAGAAGGAAGTGGAGACTGTGTTGTGCCATTCTCCATCAATGTTATATTCAACACCAGGAACATTTCAGGTAAGAATAGAGGAGGCGTGGACGTTACTCAATAAGCAATCTTCTTGTTTCGAATCACAATCTTCTTCATTTCAGCTGATTCACCTGGAGACTATGAAGCTCTGAGTGGGGTCGAGGCATGTATCCCTCCCTGCACATCTCTATTCTGTGTTAACCTCGAAACGGTTAATGATGAGCTAATAGAAGGGGATGAAAACTTGTATGTGTCGCTAACCAGAGGCTTCAGCTGGGATTCTAGAATCATTTTAAATCGCTCGCATTCTGAGGTTACCATCGAGGACGATGACAGTGAGTAGCACATGCTTTATTTGTGTGTGACGTATTCCAATTTATGCTCCATAAAATGCAGGTGCCAGAGTCACCATCCAAAACTCAAACTACAGAGTTAACGAAGCCGATAGGCGAGTGACAATCTGTGCTCAAGTGCGAAGTCCTTTTCCAGTCAGTGCAGACTGTGAACTAGACTTTTCCTTCAGTGTCAGATTGGTTCGAATTGCTAGAACTGCAGGTAATCTTTTTTACAGCAAGACTTCCATCTTCAACCACTTATTTTACGTACTAGTAACTCTGTATGTATTTTCTCACCACAGGACCATCAGATTATGGATCATCAATAACACTGTACTTCGCAAGATGCGCTATGGAAGCCTGTGGAACAATAAGTATTCGTGACGACTCCATCTTGGAGAAGGGCGAGGAAGAGTTTATTGTCTCTCTGCAAAGTGCAAATACTGACACCAGAGTTAGAGTCAGCCGTAGGACCAGCACTGTCCATATTACTGATGATGATGGTGGGTGCATTTAGTTCTAGTTACTCAGTGATGAAATGATATTTCTCTCACCAGACGTGACCATTGGTTTGCAGTATAGTGCATACACTGTGGGAGAGTCAAGTGGTAGGGTACAAGTGTGTGCCCTGATGAGTGGAACAAGTGACATTACCAGCACAGTCCTTCTAGCCCGGTCTCCGGCACTGCTGGTAATAATAATAATAATCCTCAGGTGGCTGCCATAGCACTAGGGCCATAGACCAGGACTGTTATGATCACTGATCCACATAGAGCATTTTTTCAACCGGCACTGCTAGTAACTAGCTCTAAATACCACGTTTTAATCAAAACGTCCACCTACATACAAATGATGTTCTTCCTCTCCTCAGACACTGGCACACCGTCAGATTTTGACAGCGAGTCTCATAGTGTGACATTCAAGCCAAGAAGTTCCCGACAATGTGTCTATTTCAACATCACGGATGACAATATTGTGGAAGAGAGGGAGTACTTCAATGTCACTTTGGGAAGGACTGCAGACCTGGACGATAGAGTTCAGCTTGGACGAATATCTACAACTATTTTTATCAACGATAATGACAGTATGATGTTACACATTGTTGTCTGGTTGCTTCACACAATCTGCTTGTAATTGCAGGGGCAAGAGTGAGACTGGATCCACCAGTTAAGGAGAATTCTGAGGGGAGATCTGTCGAACTCTGTGCTGTCGTTGAGTCTGCCAGCAGAGGCAGTCACCTTGAATATGATTTCAACATTACTTTTTATATCGGAGGAACTGCAGGTATATAACATAATATTATGCTGTTTTCTACTGTTCATGTTGACTGACTGTTTCCCAACAGATAAGGGGGAAGACTATTCTGGTCTGGAGTCATACCTAACCATACCTAAATGCAGAAACAGGCAGTGTATGACAATACAAATCACAGAGGACCAGGTTGTGGAAATGAATGAGACCATTTTAGTTAGCATTTCTCGGAGTGTGAACTCTGTCAGCTATGACAGAAGTAATGCGACCATCACCATCTATGACAATGACAGTAAGAGGTTTCTATTCCACTCGCAATATCATCAACATTGTTTGTATCTAGATGCGATGGTCCGCCTCAAGTCTCTCTACCAGATAGTACGGGAGAATGTTGGTAGAGTGAGTGTTTGTGCTGTCGTCAGTGGACATCCAGTTAAATCTATTGCCTTCCCCTTTTATATACGGTTCACATTTAACCCTGACAGTGCAAGTAAGTGAGTTTAGTCCTCAAGAAGAAACGATATTCACTGTTGCCTCTCATTCTCCTGCAGCTTATCCAGAAGACTTTAGTACGACACAGGTAGATGTGAGATATGATCCTGTCCGGAACGAGGCGTGTGCTCAGCTGGTAGTGGTGGACTCTGCTGTACTGGAGTTGCCCGAATCGCTCTATGTGGAGATTGCACTAAGGGACGATATTTCAGCCATTCAGATCAGCAACACTCACAATTTTGGAATCATTGAGATTATGGATGACGACGGTATGCTCATGTTACACACAGTTTTGTTTTCTTCTATTGTATACTGCTATTAATCTTCATTCCTTGTTCGCCTCTTGCTCTTTTTGTAGTTGCTGGAATAGGTCTGGAGAGGACTGCCTACACTATGAGCTCTACTGCCGAAACAGTGGAAGTGTGTCTTAACGTATCAAGGCCAGCAATAAGTTGCCCCATCACTTTCCCCTTCGACATCTTATTCAATTTAACAACCAGTGCAGGTTCACTAAAATATTAGTATGCTGATGGGGCTTTGAAATCTTTTCTCTAACATTTGTTGTGTCTTTGCCATTATACATTAGAAGTGCCAGGCATTTCAGTGCAACCCTCCATAATGTCACTCTGAATATGTATGTACCCTTTCTGCAAAGGACACTCGCGAATCTCAATAAAGGACACTTTTGGTATCCCAAAGGTGTCCCTATATAATTCTGGAGTTCTTTTTTAGAGGTCCCACTATTGTAGATACCTTCTCCCATCTTGTACAGATGTGTTTGAAGTTGATACAGCCCAAGAGCTCAGTCAGGGCGATGGCATCGATGAAGAAAGACGAGGACTCTACAAACTCCTCTTTGACACGTGCCAGAGGCGATTCTGTTTCGATGTCAGTCGGAGGGACCTAACAAGTGAAGACCGTGGAAGGTTTAAGATGACTGTAACCAGGACACCAGACCACGGCCGGATCACCGAGATTGTTTCAAACGTGGGATATATTGAAATTCGTTAATGCTAGTAAAAGACTGTACTGAATGAATAACTGCAAACTGTATAGTGTTGGGAGAGAGCTGTGTATTCCCCATTAATTAAGTGTACTCTATAATTGGTTAAATTTTGTTATTGTGAACAATCCAAACTGTCAATTAAAGTGGGTATATTATGTATATGCGCAATCACTGTCATCACTGGTAAAGCATATTTACATGCTGTTCATTCGAATCTAGCCTGCTTGAGTGGCCATTGAGGAAGTGTGGAGATGGAAGACGAGATATAACACCAGAACTACCAGCACATATTTGGCGAGGCGAGCAGTTAATCTTTGTCTGCGTTTTACGCACATGCACATACCCTAATAAAACATTACCAAGATTGCCAAGATCAAGCTTTTCTTGACAGTAGGGGGATGCAAGATACATGCAAATGTATATACAACTATTATTTTGAAAGTGGGTGAATCTATAGAGAAACGATTCCCTGAGGTTGAATTTATGGCCAATGCGCTGTTTACAAACACCAGACATCCCAGCTCTAGTCCAAAGATTCAGTCAGGATGACGGGCCTGTAACCTTTTCTATTGACTCTGTTAAAAAGCAGTTTCAATTTATCACAAATGACTCCACAATTGACATGGAATCTCTGCGGTGGGGACATCGCCAAATTCTCATTAACCCTCGGCGCGCATGCGCAGCGATGGTTACAGTAGTTGGGTTGTCCTGTCTGTTACTCAACATCTCCTTGTGTTAGCTAGCTATTCTCCTGTCCGCTAAGCTGAACCCAAGGCTGAGCCTGCTCAGGCAATAGGTCACTGAAGCGCAATGTGTTATTTTTGCGTGCAACTGCGCGCGTGGATGCGTGAACGGACATACATGCGTGTATTTCCGCGTGATGACTGCGCTCGTGTCGGTAATATTCATCAGCGCTTTGAGCCATCACAATGGAATGCGCGCCTGCATTCCGGCGCGGATACCTGGTCATTGCATTGGCCAGACCCTCTCCCACGCGCGCGCATTCAATTAAAAGGGGGAGGGGTCTGGGAACGAGCAAAAAGCGGCCTGGGGACGACTTACGCAGGGCCAAGCGGCGCGGCGTTGCAACTTTTTTTAGTCTAAGTCGGCCGTCGGTTCGGAGTGGATTAACTAGTGGGGAAAATGCCGAGGTATCCTGAAGCGTTTCTCCTTACCCTACTCCTAGTCTGCTGCAGCGTTCATATAGGCAGCTCGCAATGTGAAACACTTCCCAGCAACACCGTACTGGAGGGCCTGATATCATCCACTTTCCAGGGAGGGGATGCCTCAATATCTCCGAATATAACTGTCCTTGAAGTAAATTATGTGTGCCTGGCGTCGGGCAGCGTCAGGGGTTCTTTTAACGGATTCTCCGCAGTGGTTCTTTACAGGTGTGTAGGGGAGCGGTGCCCGGCGTCGAGCGTGTCGCAGTTTGAGTTCTCCTGCGATAGTACTGAACGCAAGTGGATAAACTTTGTCGATGGGAGCACAGAAAACCTGCGTACGGATGTCGCCGATGCTAATCTAACATCACCCAATCGTACCGACTGCAGTATATGCTTCAGTCCCACTCATATTCTAGCAAACCAACTAACCCCTGATATGATGTCCAAGTATGACCACATCAATCACTGTCTTGGTAAGTTACCAATAGCTGAGCTGAGATTCGTAACCTGACGTGTTGCATTTTCTTTAGCCTGTGATGAAGCATGCAATGAAGGAGACATGAAATGCTATGATTTCGATAGTAATAGCTGCTGCAATTTCTACAATCTGAGCGGGGATTGTGTGGCTGCGTGCAGTGCAGACAGCCAGCCAAATGAGAACTTTGTGTGCACAGGTATGTTATTCTCTGTTGCACTACTGAGTCACTATTCCATGTGCTTATCTGTGCCAAAGAATGTATGGTTGACATAGTACACTGTTTACCTTTGACCTATCTCAGGTGGGGTGGTGAGTCTATCTATGTCCCAGTATGTCTTTTCTGAAGAGAGTGGTATTGGCAATGTGTCCATTGAAGGATCTGCTGGATTCAATGTCAGAGTTGTTGCAGGTATGTATGAAAATTCCATTATAGCCACCGTAATGGAGAAGTTCACTGCATGTTTTTATCATGGGCAGGTGCAAAAATGTGTTGGCAGTGGCAGTGGTTTTGACTTCCAAAATGAAAAGCATACAACTTAGCTACGTAATAAGTTTCTCTTCACGGTGAATCCCATTGCATGTACCTGACACCGTTGTCACCCTGTGTGAACCATACCTGTTGAGTTGCCCTGGTAGCTCAGCACTCACTCACACCCACTCACCTAGAGTGCAGAGTTATTTTGGTTGATTTGCCTCCTGAAACCTCGTTGACACATGCGCAGCTGGGTTAGCTGGGGTGATGCGATCTGTGTTAGTGCATGTCCATAATGTATGAAAATCTGGATGACAAAAATCCAAATAACACATTTGTGACGGACTTACCCTTGATTTCAGAACTAATTTGAAAAACAGCGATGTTTTGGAGGTAAATTGACGCTGAGCTCTTTTTATGACACATCTATTCCAAGTCATAGCTAGCTGCATACTTTCTTGATAGTCTGAGTTACCGAGTCGCCCTGGTTACGTGAAGCAACATCTAGTAGCTAGCTCTGATGTACTAGCCCAGCTGCCATCTCCCATGCCTATAACCCTGCAATTAAAGTTGCTGATAGGTACATAGTGGTCTATAGGCAGTGCCTTATCCCACCACTCCTTGCCTTTGTGCTCACAATCCTAGGTTTCCATTTTGGCATAATTGCTATTTTGGTTCCGTTTTCCAAGGGTAGAAACTGACTCCTCTTTTCAGTAAATACTGTTATGATCACCGACAGGCGTTGCCAATGCACAATAGATCCGTGATCATAAACCAAGTAATCTCTTTCATGTTAAAGTTAATATGCCAAAAATCTAAGGCAACACCTTAATACTTCGCTCAACTAGAGTAGTCCTCCGTAGTATTACTGGCAGGCAAAGAAGGCTTCTGTATAAAGCCTTTGAATACCCACCCCTCCTGCTAAAGAACATGCTAGGTAAACACTCCACCTGACAGCCAAGTCTTTAAAACAGCATCTCTTCATGTATTGTGATCAACAATAGACTGGGTGAAGGCAGGAATGACGTTTGAATTGAGTGTGGATTACTGGTAGACACAAGAGTGTTCCTCTATGGCCTGTGGTCCTGGAAATGGAGTGCTGTTATCCATTAGCAGGGACACAGTAGACATGCTAGTGGTAGTGTCAGCACCAACACTGTGGGCACACCTGCACCATTGTTTGGCATTGTGAGAGCATTATAGGTTCAAAGGTGTAAGTGCAGGTATCTACATGAATTATTTTCTGTAAGTCTGTCTCTTAGTAATATTCTGGCAATACAGGCTATTAGGTGGCAAATGGTGTGGTGATATTACATGCTCAGTTCTACGTATGCCCCAATATATAGGGTTTTAATATTTTTTAAACTGCTTCATTTGTAGTTATCAATATGAGCAATGGCTGAGTTTGATCTGGTTTTGCCCATTCAGTGCATCAGTGGAAAAAAATTACTTCAAAATCAGTGGCTAAGTGCCCCAAATGCTATATACTCACTTTGCTGCCCTGAGTGCCCACGACACTCTGCAGTCCAGGCAACCAATCTACCAGCTAAGATATCAGCAAACATTGGACCTGGTTTCAGATCTACAACAGTAATGCATGGCTATGCTACCGTTTAGCCAGACATTAGCAGCGAGACTGCTTTTCACTTAACAATGGGTTTACAAACAAATGACGAGTTGTTATCTGTCGCATTAAACTGTCCATTAAATTTCACCCATATCTGCAGTTCCAACTTTTGACCTGGAAGGCATTCAACCATCAGAAGTTGTTATCAATACGACAGTCGTAACTCCTGCGACTGTATCCTTCAACATCACGGACGATGACGTGGCATTTGAGGTTGATGAGATTTACACTGTCACTATCATTCCTGAAGATGGCACCATAACTGTTGGCACGGGGACGGCAACCATCATCATCACAGACAATATCGACAGTAAGTCATGCTGGTTAATGCATAAGCATTAGATTATGAGAAATATGGCAAATTTTGTAAACCTTACACCCCTTTTCTCGTGTAGCAGTGGCGGATATCTAGAACTCGAGAAAGGGTGATTCCAATGCACGAAGTGCCCCCGAAAACCTTTAGTGGCGATGCCCAACTCGCATGCTCGTTGCACGAGGAGCTGCATTATGAGACCTTCCTCCAGCTCTTCTGCCAGGCTGTTGGGTTCTTAGTATATAAATCATGTACCGAAATCGCATCGCTAGTTTTTGTACATAACACTTGGACTGAAATGGCATGGTACCCCCCCTGTGTGGGGTGCACAGTGTTCATTCGAGTACTTAAAAGTTTGTCAATAGTTGTCCAAGGTGTGATGAAAACAATGTTTAGAAACTTGTTTATACATTGCAGTTGTTCAGTACAGGCATTCCTTTCAGCAACATAGCTCTAGAAGCCCACTTCGTTTTCACTCCTTTTGCCAGCCAAGTGTGCTGCCTAGCTCTTCCATCTTTTACATTTTCATTACTCTGTGGTTAAAAGGTATGGCTAGTCATGTCCTTCCTGAGCCAAAATTAGAACGAGTGACTATACTGGTGGCTATGTATAGTAAGGAGATTGCCATGTTTATTTGATGGGGCCAAATTTAACACTTGTAACTATCCCAGCTGAGTGGAGAGCCAGGATGACAGTTGACCTTTGTAACTACGTTATTCGGCCTCTCTGTTACATGCAGAACACTCAAGCCAGCTTCGTCACTTGCAAGCTTCCAACTTCATTTCTGAAGGATAAGAATAGTCAACAAGCTTTCACTCTCAGGGAAAACAAAGCAGTGCAGGGTCACTTCTTGGTTAGACCTATGTACTATGGTCTTCATTTGTCACAGCCATATCCGAACACACTTTATCCATTACTGAGTAGTGAACCTGACTTTTCTCTATATAAAATGAAAAGCACTAAAGTGCAAACCCTCGGCGAACTGCGCATGCGCGGTATCACTAATTGATGGGCTGGGCTTTTCTTTTCTTTACTCGTTGTATCGCGCTAGTAGCTCGCGGAGAGTCTGGCACGGGCTAGCTACAGTAGTAGATTGCATGCGGGAGTCGATACATGCCCTTCGTTGTGACTTCTTGTGCCTTCAAGATACACAGAGCGCGCGGTTTTGCACTGCCGACTCATCCAAGCATCACAGTTGGATTTTCTCTGCCCTCTGCCTGTGCACCACCAGGAAGTGTCTCCCCCACAAAACTAAGGAAATTATTCTCCAGATGTCTCAGTGTACATTCCGTAATGGACCACAGTAGTGTGTAAACACTATGAAAGACTCCAGCTCTCCTGTGTCAGTGCTGAGAGTCTTTTTTCTGCTTATCTGGTGTTAAATTCCATACTCTGCCATGCAAGACCTTTATGTCAAGTAATAATCCTCCACATGTCAAATGTGTATTTTGCTTGCTTTGCTTGCCAATTCTATGGTTATGATCTAGTAAGATAGTGTTTTAATAATGGGAAAACTGATTCTATAACAGTGACCACTGTTATTGACTCTATGACAATGCCCACTGTTTTCTACTATTCTGTTTGCTTACACTGCTTTCGCTAGGTTTGAATTGATCAATCAGATTGCAAATCAAAGGTTTACTATTTCGTGTAGTAAACCTCGACAAGGTTTACTACAGCAAAAATAGTAAACCTACTGATTCAACAAGAAAACACAACAAAATTGTACACGTAAACAACAAGATCAACAACTGAATCCACATCGATGCATCGTACATGTACATGCACAGACCATCACGCAAACGAAGGGCGGAGTCACTACCGCACGTCGATCTGCCGTTTTGCGCTTGCGCTCTGAGCCTGTCTCATCGTTAGGAAAGCCAGAGCGCTCAACGTGAAACTCTGACTCTATAATTGTTAGACGCTGATTACACGGTAACTACATGCTGGTTTAAGCCAGTAAAGTGAGCCAAGGTAAGGCAGTAAAGTGAGCCAAAAACAGGTACGTGGCTATTACAACAGAGGGCGCTGACATTAAAAAGCCTTTTGCTGTCTTTTGCCATTAACCTTACCTCACTTCCTTTGATGCTAGCAGTTTGTTATTGGTGTCATTTGTAATAGCTACCCTTGAGCTTCAGTCACTACATTTGCTGTTGTTTCTGGCGGTAAGATGAGGTTGTGAGCCACCCCATTCTAGCGAGCAAGGCTGCAGCAGGCATCCTTGTTGCACCTCATAAAACTCATGCACTCTTCCTACCTTATCTGAATAATCACTGGCTATTATTGCTAATGTTTTACAGTACCTCCCTCTACCTACACAGCTGTTCAGGTTGGGTTTGATTCCAGTGAATATATTCTTGAGGAGGGAAACATGGCAGGGGTCAGAGTACAGGTCAATGGAGAAAGCATCACTCTTCTTTATCCAAGGTTAGAATCCCCTCCTATTATTATAATAGTGCATGAGCGTTCTTGCTCTGTGAGAACGGTATATAGTCTATGCTATATAACAATTCCATAGATACGCATAAAAACTCTGCCTATAGCTTGTTTTCAACCAAGCACCCTATGTTGCTATTCATCAAACGAGCACTGGCCTCACTTTATTTACAAGCTGAACCTCTCGAAGTTCTGTGTGTATAGGCACCTGGTACTGCTGCTGTGTTATTCCTGTGCAGAGGGTGCACCTCAGCAGATGCTGACAGTCATGGCTGGAGAGCAAGGCATACTGTTTCCCATGATCAGTAATCCTGACGATGAGATAGCTTTGCAAGACGACCGCACGTTCCGACTCGGTCTACTTTCTCTGGAAGAGTTTGAGGACAGAATCAATGTCGGTGGACAGAACCAAACAGACCCGCAGACATTTGCCAATGAGGCCATATCTGCTAAACAGTGTGCTGCACAAGCTAGCATTTATCAAAGTTATTGTGAGGAAAATTGGGCACTGGCATAGTCCAGGGGCCAAGGAACACAAGATGGTAGTCAACTTATGATGGCTGTTTAGGGCCATCCATTTCCATCTAACTTTCTGCCATTTCCATTCAACTTCCATTTCCATTCCACTTCCATTTCCCTATCATATATAGACTTCCATTTCCATTCTGGTCACGTGGTTTCTGCGCATGCGTTTTGTGCGGTTCGACTGTACTGAACCTTCTCTACGAACATAGTTCATAGAACATAGAAGAGGTTCAGTGCAGTTGGACCACCCGGAATTTGTGTAATTACTTGCGTACTGCACTTACCTCCACTTGTACAATCTTTGATAAACCTTTCCACCACCCTTGAACCTGTATGATAACTTACTCACCAGGAGTATAAGCTACTAATGGCCATTTTATACTATAGGTACAATACATGGGGGCATTTCAGTTATAGTTAGTAGGTGAAGCTTTGTTAAACACCCTCCCCGCCTCACAAAAAACAGAGAAAAAAGGTGTCCACTATTTTCTTGCTTCCTATAATATACCTGATATTATTAACCCTCGGCAGCAATGTATAATCTTGGTCTGTTTGTCGTCTGTCCGTCTGTCCGTGCGAGTTCTTGCACTACTGGCTACGGGGCGGCCAATGAGTGACACAAACGGGTTGTGAAGATTGATATTAATGTGGCGATTTTCCTGAAATGACTGCGTTCCAGGTGAAAACAAGCCAACGTGCGGTCGATCGCGCACGCGCCCTCTCCGGCAGGCTATATAGTGCGCACACGTCATGTCAATTTTTCGCCGGAGCATACACTACGCCACATTGGTTGTATGATCCACAGGCTTCTCTTTGGATAAACATGCTGAGCAAGGTATATTCGCAATGTAGCATAATAGTTCAGGTGGCGAGCAGTTTGTGGATGTAGCCATGCCTTCCCACCTATATATCGTGTGAGCATTGGAGCACAGAAGAGCGGATAGATTGAATAAAGAAAATATGAGAGCCTCTGAACCACCTGAGCAATTGCTCTAACCAACTACCCTGTGTTACGGGGAGACTCGTGTTACTGCCTCCGTCGTCCGCCAGCATACAGCGATACTACAACTCGCGCGTTTAGCGCCGAGGGTTTGCACTTTAGTGCTTTTCATTATTGTGCAGTAATGATAGCCTGGAACACATTACATCATTGCGGTTATCACACAGCATAAAATTCATGCACACAACAACATACTGTCCAAAAATTTATTAAAGATACGTAGTATTTGTTCGATGAAATAAAACTATAGTTGATGGCTGCTGTAGGCACTAAGGGAGACTCCAGTTCTCAACACTGTATCAGAGCTGGGAAGACTCCTTGTGTTGGTGCTGGAGAGACTGTCATCAGATCCCACATCACTGTCCCAAACACTCACTTCAAACCATGTCCACATACCCATTCCAAAGTCAAGAGTCTCGTACCATTCTGGGTCCTCATCTCCTTGATCTGTGCTTGTGGTTTTGGTACGATTGTTTCCGTTGATATCATAAGCCACTACTTTCAGATAAGGGTCACTCTTACCTGCTGGCCAAGGATCTTCGTCAGGCAGATGGCTACCATAGCGAGCATAGATACTTAGTCTGCACTCGTATTTGTTTAGTAAAACTTCATGGAAGATTAAATAAGAAGTTGTGACAGAGTGTCGAACACCCAAATTGTATCCTGATGTAATATCGAATAACTGGGGATCAGACATAGCATCATCCTGACCGACATCATCGTCAAACACCTGTACAGTGATACGACTGGCAAACGATCTTTCAGACAGTGACAGGCTCAACCAAGTGTTCCAAGTGGGATTTCTAGTTCCCGTCTTAACATTAGTATTTTGAAACCTGGTTGATCCACTAAGGCTTAGTACACCCACACGAACATATGGATCAGGGTCATTCCCTATTGGGTCAGTGTGACTGTCTGGTAGATTTCTCGCATAGCGAATTTTTACTCGTAAACGGGCTACTGGTAGAACGGCGTAGTCGTAAAATATGTATATACCTGTCACAGAGAATGTTCGTACAGTATTTCTGCCAGCTGGCTGCACTAGGGTGGTTAAGAAGAGGAACAGTTACCGACATCCCCATTGAGTCGTCCGAAGCTGAGGACGAGCGCTAGCTCCTCCAGCCATGGCCTCCCCCCGCCCCTCGCCTCCCGACTTCCACGACAAGAAATGTGAGCTGATTCCCTTCTCAACTTCTTTCTACTATTTTATAAGTTAATACCCATAACCAATAATAAGGAAGTGCAAAAACTCGAATTTCCGCCCACAGAATTGTTTCGTGCTAACATGACTAGCATGACTTTCAATTCTTGTCAATTCCGTCTCAATTGTCTCATTGATATCATAATATTTGCGAAGCTCCTCAAGCGATATTATTATATCGCCTTCAAACAATATCATCTCTTCCCCATTATTACTTTCTGTGTTGTTATCACTGGTGTTTCCTTTGAAAAACACAATCTCTATTTTCATAGTCATCACTTATTGAGCTACCTTCAATGGTATCTGCTTTATTTTCAAACTTCAGGTCGATAATAATGTTACCTTCATCACCTGTGCTATTGGCAGACGGAGCATTTTGCACCGGAGCAGCATCGACAGAAATACAGCATACTGCAATGATGACCGCAAGAACCTGAAACCCTGTTGAGTAGAATTGGTAAAGAGTAAGAAATTTATATATGGCATTACTTACCCTTAAAAGTCAACATTGTTTGGGGCTCCAGATCTGTTTTGCTGAGAAGACTCAGCTATCAGATTTGTCACGGGTAGGGATTGCAATGCACTCTTTTATAGTCTTCTCTTGGCCCTTGGAGGGTTGTGACGTATACTACACTGTTATCATTAGCCTGACCCCTGGAATTTCTTCTGTGATAACATTTAACTTTTAATTGTTCAAAGGGTAGCTAAATCATTTTCTGTGGCCTGTAACCACCACAATGTACAAGAGGAGGATCTGGCTTAATAGTAGAGGTTCAAGGTTTACCTAATATAATAATAATATGCTGGAAATGTTTTCATTATGTCATTCCAAAATAGGAATTCCTCTAAGTAACATCTGGACAGGTCCTGTGACCATTCTGCACTTACCTACACTTGTACAATCTTTGATAAACCTTTCCACCACCCTTGAACCTGTATGATAACTTACTCACCAGGAGTATAAACTACTAATGGCCATTTTATACTCTAGGTACAATACATGGGTGCATTTCAGTTTTCTCCTATAGTTAGTAAGTGAAGCACTGTTCAACAACTCAAGCAAGCTTTTCAAAACACAGAAGAAAGGTGTTCACTCATTTCTTGCTTCCTACCATATATCATTATGTGGTAATAACATTACATCATTGCAATCGCACAGCATGATATTCATGCACACAACAACATACACTGTCCAAATTGTCAAAGATACATAGTATTTGTTCGATCAAATAAAACTATAGTTGATGACCACATAGCCACTGTAGCAACTGAAGGAGACGCCAGTCCTCAACACTGTATCAGAGCTGGGAAGACTCCTGGTGTGGGTGCTGGAGAGATAGTCATCAGACCCCACATCACTGTCCCAAACACTCTCTTGAAACCATGTCCACATACCCACTCCAAAAAATCAAGAGTCTCGTACCATTCTGGGTCTTCATCATGTGATCCCATTAACCCCTCTCCCACTAGAGTCTGGATGGGAAGTCGATAGCGAGTGGTGCGGTGGACGGAATCATAAACGTATTTGACGTGGCCACTGGAGCTCTCCTGCACACTCTGGAGGGCCACACCGTGCCAGTCAGATCTCTCTGCTTCTCTCCTGATTCCCAGCTTCTCGTTACCGCCTCTGACGACAGGGACATGAAGATCTATATATGACGTGTGAGTGAGACAGCAGGGAGCACATAGGGTGGTTGTGTCAAACTTCAGTTGGTCAACATTTTGCATTTTGTTTACAGTGAAACTTCATAACTATGGTGCCAACGATTTCCGTCCCTTGTAGAGGGATTGTCCCTATCTCGGAGGTCAAACAATAAACTAAAGTTTTAGCATTGGGGGGAAACAAGTGTCCTTTGTAGAGAGGTCGTCCCTATCTCGGAGGTCAAATAGTATACTATATAGTGTACTATTTGACCGACACTTGTTTCAACCCCCGTGCTAACACTTTATATTATAAAGTGTTAGCACGGGGGTTGAAACAAGTGTCCTTTGTAGAGAAGTTGTCTCTATCTCGGAGGGTCCCTTATTGGAGGTTCCACTGTCCCTCTCCTCTCTCTATCCCCAGTCAACATGCAAGTCTAACTGGCACTCTCTCCGGCCACAGTTCCTGGGTCCTGTCTGTAGCTTATTGCCCCGACAACCAACACTTTGTCACCGGGTAACAAAGGGGTGGACCCTGTAATCAATAATGTAATGATGTCATTGTCGTAATTCTCCAGATCCAGTGATAAGACAGTGAAGATATGGGATGGCAGTAACAGAGAGTGTCTCCACACTTTCAAAGACCATAGTGACCAGGTAGTGTAATAGTCTAGCAGCCAAGGAAAATGTCCACACATCATATAATACATCTCTCCTCTGAATATGGACATGTTGGGACCAGGCAGTTTTAATAGGGAGGTTGTCCTGTCTTTGAGAAGTGAATGTTTGGGACCTCAAAGTGTGTCCTTTATGCAGAAGTTTAGTTTTTATATTGTGTATTTTATTGGGAGTGGAGTTCTATGACACAAGCTTTGGTAAGCAAAAATGTGTGAAAAAACTGTTTCCATTTTGTAGTAGCAAGTTGTTTGCTTTATAATATTTAGTCTCCCTCCCTCCCTCCCCTAACTATATATAGCTAAAAGGTAGTGATGTCATGTGGTTACTATAAATCTACTGATACATAGAGACATAACAAGGGTAGCTGTATATATTCAGCTAGATAGGTAGCTAGTTCACTTCAGTATAAGCAAGTCAGCAAAAGCAACCAGGTATATTATGCTGTAGAGTGAATAAAACTAGGCTAAAGAATATCTGTATCTGTAATTGAGGTTTCCCTGTTTGGAAGACATAGATATGAACAATGGGGAACTCCCCTGATGACCAGTGCAGTCACATAGATTTATAACACTCTGATTCAGGAGACTACCACAATATATCAAAACCTGTACATTTTTAAGAGTTGACTCCCGTTAAAAATCTCTCTCTCATCCCAGGTCTGGAGTGTCAGTGTCGATGGTATACTGGTGGTATATAAGGTTGTCAGTGTTTCAGAAGATAAATCTCTCATTGTCTATTCCTGTCCTTTTTTTGCGAGTGATAACTAAGCCAAAGGCGCATGCGCACTATATCATACGATCGCGCGGCGCGGACGATCGATTGGGGTCCAGGACGATAATGACGACCTTATTTTATACGCCTGAGGCCAGAAA